TTTTAATAATCTGTCTGAGGGATCTCAAATGGAATTGTACTGGGATGCTTTACAGAAATCATGGATTTGGGAAGAACTGCACAGAGCACGAAACTATAGACCAGTTAGTTCTCCCCAGTATCCTTTTACCTTCATATATGATCCTGTTTTAAATATTTGTTTTTACTAGTATCATGGAAACACATTTAGCTGTTATCAGTTTTCTTTTGGAATTGATTTTTACCAATATATCTTGCACCTTACTGCAGTCCTTTTCTTCTAGGCATTCGAATATGGTCTCTTTCCTGGTTTGGCCTTCTCTGCATTGGAACGGTGAGATGATAATAAATGGTTCATGTTGTTGAACCTGTTCTACTTCTATTCCAATTATTGATCATTTCATCTGTTATGTTGGTTTTGTCTTTATTAGCTATCTCCTTAGGGGAAAGTTGCCTCTCACACTAAAACATGGAAAGCCTGATCATAAATCCACGGATGTGAGTAATTCCCTCAATTTTTAAGCAGTGTTTGATGAGAATCATTGCATATAGTCTAGGTTATTCAGATACAAGGTTTTCAGCTTGATTATGCTAGAATCTAACACCAGGCTATCTCATATGCAGATTGCTAGCACCCATGCTCCAATCAAGTATCCAAAACCAGATGGACAGGTGTCCTTTGATGTTCCAACTTCATTGTACAGGTTCGTTCAGCTTTACCAATTCAAATGTAAAATTCAGAATTTCTCTTAAATTCAGAGAGAACATCAAAATTGGTGGTTTCTGATTCTTTTCTTCTACTTATGATGTCTTAATAGATATCCATGCTTACAGCATGAATGGGCTACTGATATTTGATATTACATCATTTGTCATGTGCCTCAATTATCTGACTAGTTTTATGGGTTTGACATTCTTCTTCTTCTTCCTTCTTTTTTTGTGCTTGTACGCTTGTACCAGATAATTATTCTCTATGAACTTGTAACACTGTACACTGATTAGCTTGCTGTAGAAGTTTCGCTGTCTTTCCCAGTCTTCTTAAGCCTTCTATCTAGCTATACCTAGGAGAAATATCTGCATAGAATGGAGTCACTCTATAGATGTTATTAGGTCATTGTAATTTGTTAACAGTTAATATGCACTTATATTGAATACCATTTTGCTATATATGATTAGTTATTCGTTGTCTCAGTTTGATCTAAGAATTGTTTCTTATGAGTAGGAGCAACACAAATCATGAACATGATCAGCCAGTTCATCTCAAATTGAGGGATCCCAGAATTCCTGAACTTGTTAATCTTCCAAAATTTGCTGGACCAGAGGCGCGCTACTGTCCTGCTCGTGTTTATGAGTAAGAATACCATCTATATTCCAAGATATATATTTTTTCTCTCCGTGATGTAACTATTGATAGGAATTGACCAGCAATTACTCTCCAAATTGATAAATGTTTTTAACCTGATTCTTTTTTCTTCTTCTTTTTGACTAAATTTAGGTATGTTTCTGATGAGAAGCTTGGATTAAAGCTACAGATCAACGCTCAAAATTGCCTTCATTGTAAGGTATGACATAGTTGTAATTGTTGCAGTGGCTTCATTACTGGTTTATTTATGACAGTACAAAGCACAAAATTTAGAAGAATCATTATTGAAAAAAATAGGATGTGAAAATATTTAGTAATGATTGATCATCATGGTGGAATGGATTTGGGTTGGTATTTTGAATAAAGGCATAGAATAGTTGTAATTGAGCACTGATGCTCACTACCTTCCACGATTTCCATTAAGGTTTATGTATGACAGTACAAAACACAAAATTAGAAGAAATGTTTTTGAAATAGGATTTTCCAAAAATTTAGTAATGATTGCTTGTCATTTTTCTATGACGTGATCATGGTGGAACAGAGTTGGGTTGGAATTTTCGATAATAACATATTAACATGGAATAGTTCTAATTGAGCACTGACGCTCAGTACCTTCCACAATTTTCATAAAAATGGTGTTTATATACTTAACATGCAGGGTGCTTGATAATGGTTATAAGACAGATTTTAGCAGAAACACATCTTTATAGGATGCTGGAGTGTATTGCTACCAAGTGAAATTGTTCCGCGTCCCATTCATTAATATTACACTTTTTTTTTCTCGGCCTTATTCATCTTCATCAATTGGTGCAGGCTTGTGACATTAAAGATCCAACGCAAAACATCGAGTGGACTGTGCCAGAAGGCGGCGGAGGTCCTGGGTATACAATCATGTAAAATGTCCATTTGAATTGTACTTCAAGATATTTGCTTCTATTGGACATGATTGATTCCATGAAGAGGTTTCTCATAGTTGCTGCTCTTCTATAGCTGAGGATGCAACCAATCATGACCGTTGGATGTAAATGTCATGTAGATATACTGTTCATTCGCTTGACAGAGAGCAGTAGGCATTAAACTTCTGTATGCCCTTCTGAAGTTATGAGCATGCATATTTCATATTAATAGAGAATTAGGGAAATTTGCTTCCAAGCCCCAAATTTTAAAACTCAGTGTGACCTAGCCCCTCCTACTTTTACCTATGTGCTGCACCCCTTAATTTTTTAAAAATTTGTGCCCCAGCCCCTCCAGCTCACCTCTCTCCAAGTTTTAATGCATTTTACATCAAAATCTCAACTTTACTCTCAACAGTCTTCCTTCTTTCTTCTTCTCCTCCTCCACTCCCCATCTGCCCCTCCCTCAACTCTCTCCTCCTCTCCTCCTCCTCCTCTCTGATCCTGTGGCGGCGCCAACTCCCTCTCCCGCACTGAGATTTGCCCCTTGTTGGGGTTTTTCTAATGGTCGACGACGACATCGCCGACGACTCCGTCGCCGTTCTCAGCTATGGACATCAACGATGACATCAACGACGAAGCCGCCAACTCCCCAACCCACTTTAGATCCAACTCCTATAAGCACACAACAGCCCCTTCCCTTATCCAAGCCAAGTCCGGCCAACCTTAGCCCCAACCTTGCTGATTTATCACCGCTACCATAATACACTCCACCCAAATGCACGCCACATGTTCGACCTAATGATTGAACACCACACCCAATCCTTGCACCTCCCAATCTTTAAAATGTCAAATCAGCCTTCAGCCGACGCTCCGCCTCCAATGTTACACCACCCACATCGTGTTACGAAGCCTCACTACCCTAATGGTGCACCATCTATACCGCAAAGTTTAACGCGGAGGTGACGACCATCAGGTCGGTGATGGTGAACGAGTTGAATGAGATGGAGGCGACAACGCTATTCATTGCGGCTGAGAAGGGGTATTTGGATATTGTGGTTGAGTTGTTGAGGTGAGGAATGGGTTGGGGTTTGATTTGGTTGATCGTCAAAATAATTGAGAGGGGATGTGTTTTGTGTTTGTGTGTGTGAGTTTGTTTGTGCCGCAATTGTTGTAGGATTTTAGTGTGTGTGTGAAGCGTTAAATTGTATCTACTATCCATCTCAGTGAAGAAAATGGTGATGAGGATGAAGTCAAAGGGCGGTAGATGAAGCTTATCGGGTTATTGGGTTTCGGATCTGTGTCGGATGGTATATCGGACTAGGAGATGGCCGACGATCGATAGTAGAGGGTGGGGCCCATCGCTAGAGCAAGATAGTTGGAGGGATGAGGAGGGGCAAAGGGAGGAGTGGTGGTGGCGGAGGCGGATGTGAAACACTTTTGTAACGAACCGATCGCCACAACCGAGCAACTTGCAACGAACCGATCGCCGATTAATATGAGTTGCGGATGTGAAACACTTTTGTATGTATGAACTGAAATACTTTTGGGTGTATGTAATAACTAAATACTTTTGCATGTATGTAGTAGCTGTGTATATAAACTGAAATACTTTTGTAGGAATGTGAGAACTATAATGCAAATGTGATATAAAATTGATGCACAAATTTATCCTATTAACTATTGAAATACATATATATGTCATTAACTATTGAAATACTTTTGTTAGCTTGTTAAGTTACTCTGTTAGATTGTTAAGTTACATAGATAAAATGTTAATTTTTCTTGGTAGCTTATTAAGTTACATAGATAACATGTTAACTTTCGCAGGTAGATTATTAAGCTACACAGATAACATGTTTAACTTTTTTTTTAACTTGTTAAGTTACACAGATAACATGTTAACTTTTTTGGTAGCTTGTTAAGTTACACATATAACATGTTAACTTTCGTAGTTAGATTGTTACTGTTTTTTTAACTTGTTAAGTTATACAGATAACATGTTAACTTCTCTTGGTAGCTTGTTAAGTTACACAGATAACATGTTAACTTTCGCAGTTAGATTGCTAAGTTACACAGTTAACTTGTTAACTTGTTAAGTTACACATGTAACATGTTAATTTTCGCAGTTAGATTGTTAACTTACACATATAACATGTTAACTTTCCTTGGTAACTTGTTAAGTTACACAGATAACATAAGTATATACCCACCTACAAAAAATGTGAACGTTGAGGATTTATATATGTCAATAGATATGTATATTTGTCCTATTAACTATTGAAATACTTATTTATGTCATTAGTTGTGTATATGAACGTTGAGGAGTTACCTGTTAACTATAATATATAGCAAGTTAATTGATTTTCCAAAAATTTCTTTTCAAACATGTTTATTTCATCATTTAGAAACTTTAACCAAAGATTTACTATTTTTGGAATTAATTTGATATTTTTAACGCAATTTCAAAATCAGCCCAAAAACCTGTCACATGTCATGTATCAGTTCGCGGTCGACCGCCACGGTCGACCGCCAGCAGCAAATTTTCAGTATATGGTTTTTATGTGCTCACGGTCGATCGTGACGGTCGACCGTGAAACCATCCAGAGACTTTCGTGGTCGACCACCGCGGTCGACCGCCAGCTTTTAATTTCTAAACTCAGATTTTTTGTGCCTCGCGGTTGACCGCGAGATTTCCCCGGTCGCCCGCCGAACTCATGATTGTATTCCAACGGCTAGTTTCTGATTTGATTCTCTAGGGGCTTTTTAGTCATTTCAAGTTGGTTTTTGCTGAGTTCTTGAGTGGGTATAAATACCCCATTGCTCTTCTATTTCAGCAACCAAGAAAACCAAGAGTTTTGTTTTTACAAGAAGTTTTAACAAAGATTTAAGAGGCGTTTAAAGAGCTGTTAAGCTAATTTTCATTAATCTACTTCAAGAGAAGTTTTCTACAACAAGAAGTGGCTTTCAATTCCTATTGGGATCATCATCTACTACTCTTCTTGTTTATTGAGAAGTTTTCTAAAACTCTTCCTTATATAGCTTACTATTTCATTTTTATTTATTTAGCTATATTTATTGAGTTGTATTATTTTCATTCACTGTTATCACACACACATATTGAGCTTAATATCTTCATACTATATTATGGGTATTGGTGTGTGATTTAGTGAGTGTGAGCTTCATTGTGTTCTCACTTGTTATTGAGAACAAATCATTGTATTTACCTTTTATTGTGAGAATCACTTGTAATACAAGTGTGAGGCGAGAGACGGGGTCAAATCCAATAGGAGTGGCGTCAGTTGACGAACCTAGGGAGAGGTTGCATCCGAGCACTTGAGGAGGAGGACACGGGCTAGGTTCCTACACTTAGTGTGTAAAGTGTGATTGCATAGTATTTGTTGTGTGAGAGTTTTTTTGGTAAGCTTGTAAACCGAGTGTGTAAAGTTCCAGTATCCAAACCGGATTGTGATAGTGGAGATCTCCTCGAGGTGAGGAGCGGGGACGTAGGTCGTGGTGACCGACTCGAGGTGAGGAGCGGGGACGTAGGTCGTGGTGACCGAACCTCGTAAACATATCGTTTGTTTGTGTTTCCCTTAGCGTACTTTTTATTTGTGCTTATTCATATCTCTCTTGCTCATATCTATCTTATATCATTCTTGCAAGAACAAATTAATCAACATAATTTTAATTGGCTTTTAATCGGGATTAGATTAGCATAAGACCCTAATCACCCCCCTCTAGGATCCTACAATTGGTATCAGAGCTTGGTGCTCTTTGATTTAAGGACTAATCGCCTTGAGTTAAAGATCCAAGTTATCGTTTTTGTGCTAATCTAGTGTTGATTGCTTTTTGTTTCTTGCATATAATCTTATGGATATGTATGATGCATCTAGTCTAGGTTATGCTATTAATGTTGCTCCTCATTTGAATATTTTCCCCTATGCTCAATGGCGTGTTAGATTCAAACTTTTTGTTCAATCTAAACAATTTGATTTATGGGAAATTATTGAGGATGCTTATATTGCTCCGATTTTGGAAAAATCCAAATGGAGTGAAAATGATAAAAGATCGTTTAATATGAACAAGCTTTTGTTAGAATATTTGCTTAATGCTTTTCACTCTTCATTTTCTAACAAATTTGCTAATTTTGATAGTGCTTACGTCTTATGGAAATTTATTGAAGCACATGAAGGGGACTTAGAGGCTATTCAACAAGCGTTGGAAAATCCCGCTTTAAGTTTTAAAGAAGCCTCATCTCCATGTACAATACCACTAGGTGATAACCTTAGTGAGGTATGTGAGCCTGATAACGATGATATTATTACTTTTGATGAACTTGCTCTTGAGTTTGAAAAGTTACACAATTGCTATATTGATGTAAAGAGTAAGTATGTAAATATGAAATACACTCATGAAATACTAGCCACTAAGTTTAATTTTATTGCAAATAAAAATATAATTCTTAAAGAATGCAATGAAAAATTGAGAATTGAAAATGCTAGTTTGCTTCATAAAAAACGTGATGTTATGTTAGAAGTAGATAAGTTGAAATCTATGAATATCTACCTTAGATTCAATACTAAACACTTGTATTGCTAATAATAAAAAGCTTATGGACTTATGTGCAAAGTTCAATGTTAATTCTTCTAAGAAACCTATTCACTATGCACATATGTATGACAAAATTCACAAATGTTCTATTTACGGTCTTAAAGGTCATTTAACTCAATTTTGTCATAATGCACCAAAAATTGACAAGCATATTCATGATTGTGCATCCCATCAAGCTTCTTCATCACATACACATGTACACACACATAGTGTAAATCATAAACATGCTCATGTGTATAAATATGATTATTGTGGTCGTTTGGGTCATTTGGCCATGTTTTGTTTCGATTTGAAAAGAAATTCTCGTTTGCAAAATAATTACAAAGGAAAATCCATTTTTGCAAATAAACCACGTGCATTTCATTTCGGTCAACGCAAACCATTCAAACCTCTACATTGCACATTGCAAATAAACCACGTGCATTTCATTTCGGTCAACGCAAACCATTCAAACCTCTACATTGCACAAATTACAATCGTATGGATCATGTTTACGATTTTTGCTTTGACCGTATCAGTGCACAAAATACGCCCAAGCGGGTTCATAACCCTAGGGCCTTGGATTTAAATGATAGGGGTCATGTCCCAAATTTTAGTGGTACCAAAATGATTTGGGTA